TGAATGCAAAAATGATTTTAATCGAAATTTATCTTTTTTTTTGCAATATTTAATATCTAATTAAATCATATCTATAATAATTGTTTACATTTATTCCAGTCGAACATCCGTATGCTCAACTTCAAAATGTTCAAAAAACTGAGGCTAATCAATTGAATCGGTAATAATTATACTCATACATATAGTAGTATCAAAAATTCTTTATATACATATATTTTATTTTTCTAATGCAAAATAAAAAATTAATATTAAACATTGTAGAAATAATATGAAACAAGTCATTGATGTTGAAAAACCATCAACATCAACATGTCAAATTAATGGAAACCCAGTTGCTCCCCCAAGAACTCGACGTTCTTCATCGCATAATTCGCTTATATCTACCGAAACTGGCCTGTGTGATATTCAAGCAGCTAATGCCATATCTGGTGGAGTGCAAGCTAATCAAGATTTACCTTATATGACACCACCGTTATTGATGTTGCTTCCTCAACCACCGCAATCTCAGTCAAATAATTTACAACAGCATTTTAGTGGAGATTCTCAAGATTCTAGTAAATATTTTGTTCTCTCATATCAAATCGATCTTTGCTAATATCTCATCAACTTACATTAATTGAAATCAAAATTAATATATTTTCTTTTCTTTTTCATTTTATATAGAAGGATATACAAGTATCAGCGTGAGAGAACCTTTAGCTAATATAATTGCACAAACAAAAACAATTTGTCGACAAAGTCAATCCATTCGACCGTCTATGGATCCCCATTACGCAACAGTATCGGATGACTCTGGTATATGCACACATATATGGATTTGTAATAACGATATAATAACAATTAATTTCTAGATAACATACTCGTGTATTTTTCTTGCTTTTCTTTTATCATCGATGAATATTATTTCATTTGACAGATGAGATGTATGCTGCGATCGATGAACAAGATAAGGTATATACTAGTGGTAGCGAAACATATGCTCAGATACAACCGACGATGACAGAAGTCCAACGAATACAAAATGAACAAACGTTATTCTCTCGAGTTCCGTCTCGTTCTGATGAAACATTTCCTGCTCCGCAACCTCCAAGCGTCGACAGTTTACGGCATGTTGCGCACGCTCATTCGAGACAAGGTAAATAGCTAGTAATTATTGCCAATTCATTATATATTCATATCTATTTTTATTCTTTTATTTGAAACTACCCCGGCTGCAGCTTCATCCTCAAGTGCCAACAGTTCTATCATAAATCCTGGATCACCGAAGCCTGAGAAACGTCAAGCTAATTCTCCGTTACCACCTCCACCAGAAGGAACGATAGAAGTATATGCATCGATTGATAAGAGGACAAAAAATGAGGATCGATTGAAATCAACTTTGTCTAGTGGGAAATCTCTAGAGGATATGTATGCTAAAGTAATGAAGAAAAAGAAAGATGTTGAAGAACAACAAAATGATGCACATTCGAGTTCTCAAGGAATTCTACATTCCGAAATATTCGTTCGGAAGCCAAGCTTTGTTGAAAATAACAGGATTTCATCGTCTAGTCATGATTCCATGGAAATACAAAAAAAGGAATCCGATTCTATCGATAATGGCAATCTTCATTTAGATGGGGATATTTTGGTAAAATCGTCTTCTTCGTTGTTTAAAAGTGGTGACGATGCGGATTCATCAAATTTCCAACTTGGTCATAATTATGAACCTATGAATGATTTGCAAACTAGGCATTCAACGATTCGCGAATCCTGTGATCCGAATTACGAAATGTTATGTCCGCAACAAAGGGTCACTGTTGACACTATACCAGATTATCAGCAAAATGATAGCTCCGTATCAATTTCTCTACGAAATAATACCGATTTGCCAACCACTTCTACTTCTCCTTCTTCTTCTGCTTCTTCTTCTTCTTATTCCAAACCGTTCAAACATCGACAAATTAGTAATGCTAGCAGCGAAGATCCCGGATATGAGAAAGTAAGATTAAGAAACAGATCTGAAATGGATCCAGACACAGATTCGGAACCTAATTATGAAAGTATGCCACATGATACAGGAGAACCAAATTATGCATCAGTTTGTCGACCCGGTGATAGCGATACGGATCCCAATTACGAGTCTGTTAATCATGAAGATCCTAATTACGAAAGCGTGAAATATATGAGTGTTACTCGTACGGAAGAACCGCCATATGAGCAAGTGAACACGTATAAAGCCGAACAGAATTCTAGTGGATATGAGAAAGTAAAAAATCATATATTGTGTAATACTGATTACGAACAGATTCATCAGAATCATTCGACTGATTCGATTAATGGGGATACCGATGACGAGCAATATGTGCAAGTCTAGTCTCTTATTATTCTTCGTTTTATTTCTTTTTTTGTGTTTTCTTTTTGTTCTCTTATACGTTCACAATATTCTTTTTTCCTACTTCATGTTTTATGTTAATATGTTTCGTTATATTTTCCAACATGTATCATACGCATTTCTTTTCTGACTTTGACAATTTTTTTTTTCTCTCACATCCAACATTCGTAAAATTAATTTTTTAAGCCCAATGTACACAAGCGAATTAACATTATTGTGATCCCAACTACGAAGATGCCAAACTACAAATCCGCAACGATGCCGTGTCACTCGCGTGCCTCTGATCTTAATATAATTACATTAATTACATCACATAGAGCAAAAAACACGAATTCATCGAACTTCATTCATAGTAGTTACTAGATGTGCAATAATGATACGCATTATTTACTTTTAATTATAAATACTTTTAATAAAAAAATGAATTAAATATTTAAAAAAATTTATAATGTGAATAATGCACTTCATTTTCGCTTTAGTTCGAATTGTGAAAATGAAACGGAAAAAGAAAGTGAGAGTTCGTTACTTCATTGTTTCTCAACTTACAGAAGCAAACTTATTTATTTATAAGATTATTTTTTCTTCGTTATCTCCTTTTTCTTTTTCTCAAATGACAATTTTAATAATTTATAAATTGTGGAATATGTATTCTGTATATAATTTTGTGCATTGTAGACATAAAGTATGTTTTTTTTTTTGAACACATCCATTTTGTTTAAGATATATCTCGCATAAATCAATAACGACGATAATAATATAAATTACATATGTGTTATACACATGTACGCTTTTGAGCATAGCACAATCTTGCTTACGGCGCTAATTTACAAGAGGTAAACAATGTCGTAATTAAACGCATTCATATTAAATGCAACGATTTGTATTCTTTTATATGTATTTTTCACGAAGTCGAATGTCTTTCGGTAAAATAAAAGATAATTTAAAAAAAAAAAACAAAAAAAACAAGGAATATTTTTTGGAATTCTGTCGAAAAAGTGAATTCAGTCAACATAGCCTAAATCATAAATATAATATATCATACACAGATTAGATCTGCGTATTTTTCTATTCGTAATTTCTATTTATCGGAGATGCAATATTTCATGCCTATCAATTTTCTTCATTTGTTACAAACATATATTTAACTATATCTTTCTTTTTTTGTTTCATTTTTTTCTTACTATTATTATTATTTTCGAATTATCATAACAAAAATTCCTATTTTCTTTTTTAAAATTATATATTTGAATATAAAAAAATGATCGAATGACTAGCGAGCAAAGTAAAAACTTAGCTGTTGATACAGTTGTTCGACATAATTTCGTTTCATAATTCGTCAAATATGAGTGTTGTGTCACGTTCATTTTTGATCAGTATAAAAATTGTACAGTGTAATTATCATAATAAATGGCAGCATTTATCGATTTCATATACATTTTATACGGATTGCGTTTTTAATTGCGTTTCATACATTACATACGATAGAATACATTCATGTCATGATATATTGGATCCATATTCAAACAAATTTCATAATAGATCGAAAATATTTAAAAAAATATTGGAAATTAGATTGAAAAAAATAGGAATTACGTTGAACGGATAATGAATTACGAAAAAGGGGAAATAAAAATAAGGACATGTTTCTTACATATATGTACATATATATATATAGTAATTTTATGAAATCACATATAATCATTGCACCAAAGAATAAAATATAGTTATGTTATTTTGTAAACTCAAATCAGGTATTTCAAGCTATGTACAATATCACTCAATCTTTAAATCTGAAAAATGAAGATAACAATTAATAAATTAAAGAAATAATTCGTTTACTAATCGCTTATTAAAAAAAAATCACGTTCACGTATGTGTAAGACGTGTAAGTATGTAATGCCGCATGTGTACAACTACGTAAATACATTAATGCACAAATGTATTATGTAAGAGAAGGATATGAATACAAATAGTAATGCAATCTTCTACTTAATCAGAAAGATGTACGAATACCGTGTATTTTTACATAATCTCCGATTATTTCCATCACATAAAATTTAATAAAAATTATATAAAATGAAACAAGAAAAAACAAATATCGACTCGTATAATTCATAGCAATATCTAATTAATTCGACGTAAAAATTCTTCTTCTTTTTTTAATTTTATCTGTGACAAAATAACAATATATATTTTTTATTCAAGTTATTGCCAATGCACAGATTATAGTCTAATTTTTATTTGTCACATTTCTTTAATCAATCCTTGGGATTTCTTTACAATATAAATATCTCTATAACTATGATAAAAACATTCATACGTACATAATCTTTTATAATATATATAATAATGTTCATATATTTGCACATATTTTTAGATTAAAAATTTAAAAACAATAAATAAGTCGTATTTAACTGTTTAACATTGTTTAACAGTCTCAGCGAAAAAATAAATAGTACACACGAATAAATAGCTTTTATCGTATTCGATAAAACTTAGCAATAAATAAATACTTCGTCTTGTTGGAATGCAATCGAGCATATTATTAAAAAATTTTTTCGTTTAACAATTACCATGAAAGCACTTCATTGGAGAAAATGTTAGTCATTATCATCGGATTCCTTTGTGGGGAATGAAATGATCGACCAATGATAATATATGCGATAATATCGATCGAGATAGAAAATGAGACATTTCGCTAAACATGAATAACGTAACACGTGACATTAAACAAAATGGCACGATGTCACACACTGTTGATACTGCTAGCTTCTTCGACATCGCTCTCGCTCATTGGACTAGTCGATGATTCTAAATGATATTTTGAATCGTTATTCAAATTTTGATAACGTTGTTGTTGTTGTTGTTGTTGTTGCTGCTGCTGTTGCTGCTGTTGTTGTTGTTGCTGGTGCTGATGATGATGGTGATAGTGATGGTGATGTTGAAGAAGATTTTCATCGTGATAACATAAATGCCTATCGTCTATGCGTTGGCGCAGATCGTTGAGATGCACGGTCTGAACTCTTCTTTTCAGCTTCCGATGACAAAAAAGACAAACGATCAATGCTATTAATACAGCACCGATGGTATAACCCGCAGGAACAGCGTAATTATTTTTCTGTACAACTGTATTACCTGGAATATAATAATTTTTTTGTCAAATTTTTTTCGATCATCCGCATTCTTTTTTTTTTCAGCATCTTTTTTTCTAATTCGTAAGTCCCTTAAAATAAATAAGTTTGATCGACATCGAGTCGATTTATTGAAATTTTATTTTATTTATTTATTTTCTTTTTTATTACTTTTTTCATTTTTATATTTTTAATACACTTTTAAATAGGAGGCTACAAGTAAAATAACTGCGAAAAGAAAATAAACGCGACAGAAAGTGCAGTCAGAAAGACAACTGTGTGTAATCGTAAGTAAGGAACCAGTTGAAAATCGTCGGCAACTAAGTCGTTCGAAACTATTGAATTTAAGATCTGTTACACATTGTCGAGTTATTTAATAGCTTTACTAGTCATGGAAAGATGGAAAATTGGCAATCAAACTCAGTGACTCAATATTACAGAGACTAGAATAGGACGAATATCGAGAAAATTATGTAATAATTTACATCGAAGTTATTTTCCAGAAAGAAAGAAGAAAAGAAAATATTATATCTACAAAAAGTCGCAAAAAAAATGATTATTATATTTTTTAAAAATAATAGAAAATATGAAGATAAATTTTCAATTTTTCTCCATCATGAAAATATCCATCAAATCATATTTAACAAGATTCTGAATGAATTGATATATATATCAATAATGATAAAATCTTTTATTTTTATCTTTATTCCTGATTACTTTTGAAAACAGTTATTTGTCGTGTAAATTCACTCGAATAGACACAAAGAGCAACGTATTTTTCTGATTCAATGATACTGATCATCTAATTGGTCACATTCGTAGTAATGGTCACGACAAGTGTAAAAGAGTGTATTAAATCAAACGAATGTATTCACACGACGAGCAATTTACACGTGAATCAAACGTAATTTTGTAATAAAATTAAATTTAACGTAGAGATATATATTTCGAAAGATAATTTAGAATATAATATAATTAATGTAATCAATTGTATTGTTTTCAAAAAGGACGAAAACACTTCTTTTATACTTTTACTTTTTTTATAGTAAAGAACTTATTCTTTTCTTTTTTTTTTTTTCTTAACACGTTTGTTATCGTCATTTTGAAAAATAATTTGACCCTCCTGCATCGATCATAATAATTTTTCACATAATATAAAAAGTCTAATGAGTAAATAAAATTTTATTTTACTGTATCTATATCTTCGAATTTACTGTTCATGGTTAATAAGAAGTCCTCGTGCAAGCTCTGATTTCGTTGAATTTAATACATTGATAGAAATAAGACATGCATATTGGTCAAAATTATTATTATTTAAAATAAAATAGCACCGTTGAACAAAATAGAAGAAAAATATCGCTTTTTACACATCTCTTGAAAAGGAGTATGTATGTGACGGAGGATAAATGGTAACAAACGTGTCAAGAAAATTTTATATTTAATATAATATAATCTCTTTCCATATTCATTCTACATATAACATTCTTTAAGATAACAACAATTTTCGATCATCGAATTTATTAGTAATCGATAATTTCAATCGCTGAGTTTGATCTCCTGGATTTTGATCTCTTGGACTTGTCCATCACTTTGCGACAATGCATATCAGATCTAATAGGGAAGGAAACAGTGTGATTGTGAATATTTTGTAGGGAAGACGTGTGCGAACTCTCGTAAGAGGAAGGAAGAAAAAGAAGAGAGAGCTCGCGAATTCACATGCTATTGTAGTATATGAATAAATTTGCATTCACTGTAAAATCATGCATCTTTCGGTAAACTTTGTGTAAAAAACAAAGGACAATTTTGAAACAAAATAAAAAAAATTGTGATCTCCTTGAAATTTCTGTGTAACTGAGAAAATAAAAATAAATTACTTACTTACAAAATGTATTTATCGTGACACTTGTATGTATAATTAATAATCAAATTCAAAAATTTTTATGAAATGTGTAATTTACGATAAAAAAGACGATATAAAATAGGTGATTTTACATTTTTTGAAATTATATACATATGTATATATATATATATAATGATTGTGCATCATTGATTTGTTTCGTTTCTAATCGTACACACACGATATAGACTGTCTAATCTGGATCATAAACAGGTTATAATTCATGTTTTTGTATTAAAAATTAAGAGCAATGTGCAATATTGTGAGTGAACTCACGTGATAGGGGAGATCATAACATGCCGGATCGTCGGAAGCTTCATGAAGGGCTCAGATGGCCACGAACACAAAGCACAGAGAGAGAAGAAGCATGGCAGAGACTCCAGCCAGTGCTGGTGACAATGGGGCTGATGCTGCACCTGCGACACCACACACAGTCATTCACCCACGCAATCTCTCCATTCTTTCACCTATACACACAGCTACCTATTACTTACCTAAAATATTACACAAATTTATAGTACACAATTTATAGTACATACTCATCATTTCTCGTTGAGTTTTTTTTATTCAACATTTGTTTTCGATTTTGTTTCTTTTTTTTTTTTTTTTTTTCTTTTCAACGTGAAACGTTAACGTTGCCCTACCCCATTGCTACACGTATCATATTGAAGGCGTGTATTGTATTGAACGCGTGTGCAAATATAAATATCGACACAAAACTTTCTTTTTATTATTATTACTCGAAAACAATTTAAAACTTGTCATGATTTACACAATAACATATTCGATATCTTGGAAG